GGGTAAAAATGGTAAACAGTAGGGACCAAATCATGGATTTTTTAAGTTTAGGGATGAAATCGAGGGTCCGTACAATAGTTCAGGGACCAAAATGAGGTTTTAGCCTTTTTTTTATTCCATTTCAATAAGTTTCTATAGAGAACTTGAATTTTGAGAATTTCTTCATATTGATTATGGAATTTGATTAGTTAAAGTGATAAACCTGATACTTCAATCGATAGATCATGTTGAGTATATATAGATAGAAAAAGATTTTAGTTTAATTTTCTGTTTGGTTCCCATGGAAATTTACAGATAGGAGAGGATATGGCAATGGAAAATTGGTGGGGGTACCTCACTACCTAAGGACCTAGATCGTTTGGGTTTGTGAGAACCTTTACTAAGTTTTTCTAGAACCTAGATCAAGGGTTCCTTGTGAACCTAGATCAAATGAATCTAGGGTTTAAGATTGAACTTTGAAGAAGAATTGATCAAGAAAGATATGACGTCCTCCATAAAATCTCTATAATCCCAAAGAATATAGGGTTTGAGTTTGAAAAAAGTGCATTTTCTAAAGAAGCTTTTTTAATTTCCATATTTGACTTTCCAAACCATATAGGACCCACTGAGATGTGGCTAGCATGTGTTGCAATTGGAATATGAGATAGGATAAGTTTTAGTTCACTTAATACTCTACATTAGCATCTTTTATTAGTTGTAATATCCATGTCATTAAAACAAAAAAAAAAAAAAATCACGTGACTAGTTAACAGGCCTAACTAACAAAGGCAACAAAATTGTGTATTTTTTTTAGAATTAAGGGATTAAAAAAGTATAAAAAAAATTAAAAGATCAATATGAACCCCCTTCGAGGGTGGTCCAAAGCTTTCTCTAGTCTGTTGGGCTTGTCCTCGATATGAACCCCCTTTTTTTTTTGAACGAGGACTACACGCTTCAGCGCATATATTTGTAGGGAACGGGGGAACCGGGGAACCGGGGATCGAACTCTAACCCTTAGCGCTCTTCCCACTTTTGAGATAGAATGCTGCGGCTCCATCGATTGAGTGGGAAATGTACCACGAGAATATTTTTATTTGTGTATTTATTGCACATGTTAAACCTAATGAATTAAAAAATATCTATTATTATGATTTAAATTAATATTTAATGATTTTATTTAATTTAATAGATAAGAATTTTTAAATTAATAATAATAATTAATTATTAAATTAAATAAAATTATTAATTATTAATTTTAAATCATTATATCAAACAATATTGTATAACCTCTGCCTTTAACGCATACAAAAACACCCTCATGGAAAACAGCTTTTCAAATCGTCTAACTATTCTGTGATTATAGAATCCACTATGGAGGTGCAGGTGCAGGTGCGTACCCTTGGTAACTTAATTGGCAAAATTTCTTTGCAAAAAGGAAAAGGCTATAACACCATTATGGTAAGGTTTAAATGCTCACTCCCCTTTCCTTGCGAGATTGAACTATTTGTCATATCAATAAAAAAAAATTACACAAGTATTATAAAATAAGTATACTTGAGAATGAGTAAGAATATATATAAATAAGGTAAGATAATGTAGTAGGAAAAGAGGAAAAAATATGACAAATGAGACTTAATTGAATGTTACAATGCAAACCTATACATAGGCTGAGGAACAATGAATGTTACATGAACAAAGTAGAATATTGAACAAAGAAAAAAATTGAATAAAGCTTACTAATTCCATGAATGTGGTGGTTCTATGAATCTTGTGGTTTAATGAATAAAGCTTGGTTTAATAAATAAAGCTTGGTTTAATGAATGAGATTTAATGATTTAATGAATAAAGATTAGAGGGTGAAAGGATGAGGTGAAATATCCATTCATTTACATAGTTCAAAATAACAAGAGTTTTTTTTTTATTTTTATTTTTTTAGAGATGCAAAATGAAATAATGAAATGTAATCATAATCTATTATCTGTTAACATACCTTATACGCATATTATGTGATTAAAACTTCAAATTTATTATTTTCACTAAAAAGAAATTACCACTAAATTACTTATGTCATTAATGACCCAAAAAGATATTAATCTTAAAATACACATTATTGATTCACAAAATACATTAACTATAAAACAAAAAAAGGAACAAAAAGGTTTGGAAGAGTTTGACATTACATGAATCGATCAAAATTTATTTGTAAGTCTTAATTACACAAATTTTTTTTATTAATGATCAAAATGTTTTTGAATCACCTTAAACACACCTTAAAATTAATCAAATCCATTCACGAAAGATCTTAAAAGTGCACCCCAGACAACTTATACAAAGTTATATGTTTGGTGGAGACCCTTTATGGGCTTATTATTCGTGTTACAAACCTTTTTGCATTTCAAATGAAATAAATATTATAATGTTGATGTATTTAGAGAAGGCAGCATGCTGAGTGCAATGGTTTGCATGCGCGGCAATGATTAAGACCCCCCAACTACACTCGTACAGATGAAGACATATAGAGTTATAGACCATCAAACTTGGTCGTATATACTGCTGAGTGCTGATGCCATCGACATCAATGTTTTTATACAATAATTGATGATGTTAAGATGTGAACATAATTATATTTAAAATTATTGTAAATATTTTATACTTTAGAATATTCTCTTTATATACTTTATACCTTAGAATATTCTCTTTGTAAACACCTATATATAAGTCATTGTACATACAGTATAATTCAAGAAAGTAATAAACCTTTTTTCAGATATTTCTCCTTCTTTTCAGTTTCTAACA